AAAAACATTGCCATCAAAATGTTACAAAGTCATTAAAGCAGACACTTTGGGGGGAATCTTTTATATTAACATAGCTTCAGTTTCTTTTCCCTTTGTTGGGAAAAAGATGCCTGTATCCCTTAGCAACTAACAAATTACCCCACCCCACCCCCATCCTTACAACATGTTATTTCTTGTGTTTTAGGAGTTTGGGACGGAGGTGATTTTTCTGAAACTGCTCCCATCTGGTTGAAGAGAGCAGCGCTGCTGTCTTCCTAGCTAGAAGAACGAACCTCTCAATGCTGAAGGTAGGTTTTAGAATTATCAAGGGCAGCCTGCAACCCCACGGCTTGAGTTCCTTTTATGGTTTTTGTTGTTGTTTTCCTTCGTTTTGCTACAGCGACCATTCCATGTCTCTGGTAATAATTTTCCATATTAGTAACTTTCACATTCGTGTAGGAAATACCTGACAAAAACAACTTAAAGTGGGGGAGACTTATTTTAGTTCATGATTGCAGGAGGTTCAATCCATGTTCTTTGGGTCCCATGTACACGGAACACAGTGGAGATTCTTCAGCTTGTGGCAGACAGGAAACAGGCAGCAAGAAGAGGAACGTAGGATAAGATACAGCCCCCAGTATGAGCCCCCTCTTCTCTAGCTGGCCCCAACTCCTAAAGTTTCCAGAACTTCTTAAAACAACTGGTGATATTGTAATATATTTATCTTAACACTTTCTTTTCCAAGTATGTTAGTCTTAAAATGCTACTCATTTTAGAAAGTTCTTGGTCAGTGTCTCTAGTATTTCTTCGGGCTCATATTCTCCCTCTGCTTGTTCAGGAGTCAATTCCACGATCCTACCACAGCATCTGATGCTTTCCCTCAGCTCTTGTGCATCTTCTGTCATTTTATTTCTCACTTTTTTTCTGCGTATCAGTTTGTATTATTTATGTTTTTTTATTTTCAAGACCCCTGATTCTTTGTTTTGGTATGACAAGCCTGTTGGAGATTATTCATCTCTTTATCACGGCATTTTTTCTTCATGTCCAGCATGTCTGTCTGTAGTCAGCTTTCTGTCATTGAGATTTGAGATGGTCATCATAAAGGAAGGAAAGGTTTACTTTTGGCTCATGGTTTCAGTCCATGATCACTCTATCCTCTTGCTGTGGGTCAGTGGAAACATGATACATCATGGTGGGAGCAATGACCATGGCCAGTCACTTCATGGTGGCTGGAAGCACATACACATGCACACACGGGGGTGAGGAAGGGAAAGAGAGAGAGAGAATGAGAATACTAACAGGATACCAATCACTCTCTTCAAGGGCCCATGCCCTGAGACCCGACTTCCTTCTACTAGTCCATTTCCTAAAGGCTCCATTACCTCCTTGGAGCATCACAGGCAAAGGACTAAGCATATGGGCCTTCGGGGAACATCCACAAATCCTAAGTTACAGCATTTTCATACTTTCTTATATTTTAT